GTATGTGTGTGCGCCCTGCCCATAGGAAAGCGCCCCCTCCACCCTCTGGAAGCTATGATTCATGAGTCTCTCTCTCTCTCTCTCTCACACACACACACACACACACACACACACACACACACTATTAGTCTTAGCTCTGAGCTACAGTCAGACTCTGCTATAATTGCCCTCATTAAAAACCCCTGTATCGTTTCAGGCAGTCGGAGAGAAGTATGAATCTGGCATGGTTCCAGTAGAAAGCCACACTCTCCTTAGCTGGAACAGAAGTGCGGGTATAAATATCACACACACACACACACACACACACACACACACACACACACACAAGCAAATCACTGAGCTTTTATTTCCATTTCCAGGTGTGATGGAGAGAATCCAGTCAGACAAAATGAAAATTGCATACCCACTGAGGATCAGTACTCTCCCGAGGTGTTTCATATGATTTTAACAAGACACTTAGGATTTTTTTTCCACATCTGTGGGCATGTTTTGCTTAAACATGTCATCATGAATCCCCAAAACTTCAAATGTTTCTGCTTTCCATTAAATGTATGACAACACAGTTGTAAGTGGACTGCCTCCTAGAGCAAAAGGACCCACCCAGCTCTTCCCAGAGGCTCGTCCAGGTTCTGGAAGGTTCTATTATGATGGAGGAGATTGGAAATGGGTATGCAACAGCTAGTTCATGGTCATTAGCTGTTGACACTCATGATAAGTAGACCCCTGGCAGGCAGGAAGCCTTTCAGTGGTGGAGACTTCTGGTCTACCACGCACTGCCTCCCAGCCATGGCTGTGCTGGTGGGGGCCTCCAAAGGGCTATTGGGAGGCAAGACTTGGCTTCTCCAAAGGTGCTGGGATCCCCTATCACCAAAACACGTTACACATGTGATGCATGGCCACATTGGAACACGAACATTTTTAGAAATAAAATTCGGAAAGATGGTCAGGAAGAGGAGGGGGAAACTGGACGTTAATGGTGTCCAGTGGAGTTTGTAGGATGTGTTTGGGGAGCACAGGAGGAAAAGGAAATTGAGGGTTCTAGGCAGAGGAAGCAGGGATGCCAAGGCAGGAAGGTACCTCTAACTGGAGTGTGAGTGCGGAAGACAGAAACATCCAGGCAGCACCCTGGCTGAAAGGCAAGGAGTGCACCTTAGATGCTAGGGAAGAATGGAAAGATTTCGGGCCTGGGTCACATCTGTATTTTAGATAGGTCTCTGGGGGCTGTTTCTGGGCAGTCCCTCTGTGTTGCAAGTGAGACTAGAGGCAGGTAGAAGCCACAGTCATAGTCCCTTTAAGATACAGCAGTTAAGGAAGGTCAGATTTCATATCCTAGAAAGAGAGGTGGGTGTTCCACATTTCTGACTTAGGCACAAGGTGGGTGGTGATCCCACTAACCAAAGGCAGAGAAACAGAAAGAAACATCCAGGCAGCATCCTGGCTGAAAGGCAAGGAGTGCATCCTTAGATGCTAGAGAAGAACTGAGAGATTTCGAGCAGGGGTCCCTGGGTCACATTTGCCTGGGTGGGAGGCACTGAAGAGGATGGGGGACAGGGCTGCTGGTGGAGAGTGTTGGGGAATAGACCGTAGCTTTGCCCGTGTTGGTTTGGAACATCCACTGAGCATCTGGGTGGGGCTGTCCAGTGAGGGAACCAGAGTTCAATGGGAGGTCAGAGCTGGATAAATGAATGTGAAGCCATCATCCTTTGGTGGAAATCAGGGATACTGTTGAGAATGAGATTCCTTGGACAAAGGACACAGAGAAGGCGAACACAGCACCGGGGCTGTGTGTGGTGGACCTCGGGGTCTCTGGGGCAGTGGAGGTTGTTGATAAGGGGAAGAGACCGGCCTGGTGTAAATTTTTTTCTCGGCATAAACATCAGTTTTTCCAATTGCATCGCCCATGGGTTGGACCTGATGATCTCTAAAACACTCCTTTCCATGTTTAAAATGCGCTCCCATTCCAAATCTCTTCCCGGCGCTGAAAGCCCAGCACATGTACTTTGGAGGAAACTCTTGGCTTTAAAAAAGGAGGACAGTCTGCCTGGGATTGGGAATGAAATGTCAATGCCTTATGGGGACACGTGCCAGGCACTTGCGAACCTCAACTTCCCGATAATGAGGGAAGGACATACGGAGTTTGAAGACACCCCATAGAATGACTAAACGACTCACCCAGAAACATATGTCATGATTTCCACCATAAGTTATGATATAGATGAGTCAAACAGAGAGTGAAATTTAGGATTTTTAAAGGTCCCCTACCCCATCCATGTCAGTGGTTTCTGTTTAACTCCAGGGAAGAGAAATGTGCCAAAATCGGTGGTGTCTGATTTCTCAGGACTAGGCTATCCAACACACCTGACTAGAAATAAATGCAATACCTGGCTGCCATAACTCAGTGGTTGAGAGTTGACCTATGAACCAGGAGGTCATGGTTCAATTCCTGGTCAGGGCACATGCCCGGGGTTTCAAGCACCATTCCCAGTAGGGGGCCTACAGGAAGCAGCCGATCAATGATTCCCTCTCCCTTCCTCTCTGAAATCAATAAAAATATTTTTTTAAAAATAGCTGCAAGGACCACCCAGCAGAAGACTGGGGTGCAAAAGGTGGCAGGGTCCTAGGTCACCAGATGCAAAGTGGTGGCCACAAGAGGACAGGCAGACTGGACAGAGCTTTATAAGGATGAGATGGGAGGGACCTGGGAGCCTGTGGTCTGGGGAGTCTCACCACTGGAGCCATCGAGGAGGGCTGACCCAAGCCGGTCAGTGTCCCAGAGTGAGGACTATGGGGCAAGGAGCCAGAGAATCGGGGCGGGGGGGCAGGACACAGGAGAGATGGAACCGCAGCAGGGTTGAGAGGGGGAGTGGAGAATCCAGGACGGAGCAGGCAGAGACAGGACGAAGTCCCAGAGGTCAAGGATGAAGTCCGCTGAGCTCTCACCATGGAGTTGCTTCTATGCATGAATTCTCACAAATCACTGGGGTCCACCTGTCTTTGAGGAAGTCTGTGCGCTCCTGTGGACCCACGTGGCTGTGACAGGCTCCTTGCTCCTGCCTGTTTGTCTCTGCTACACGGCACTCTTAGCCTCCCCAGCAGCGGGGCTACTTCTCTGCATGTCGACATAAACCACATGGCAGGCAGGATGGTGGATGATAGGTCCTTAGCTCCTTCTGTTCTCAATGATTAGTTTAAATAAGAGATGGTGGTGCCCTGATTTCACTGCTATGAATACAGGGCTTGTGAAAATCGAGCATTGACTTGTGATGTTCAACGTCGTTTGTTGACACTCAAAGCAAACTCTTTAGTTTGGGGATAGTAACACCAGACCATGAAATTGGAGTTGTTAGCTGTCCTTCTACACTCAAGCTGTGACACGTCACTCAGGTGCTGGCCAGGCAGCTGTGGTGAGCTCAGCACTGCGCTGTGGCCGTGGGCAAAGACAGCTGCCTCCTTTGGCTTCTCAGACATTGTTGTTGATGCCACGGGGGCTGGGGCCCGGCACCGGGAAGCTGAGCGCCGGGGATGTACCGGTTAGCTGGGACAGAATGCCTGGTTGTCCATAAAAAGGGTCGGAGAAAGAAAAAGGACAGGATAAAATAGCAAGATCCCACTTTTTTACTGTCACTTTGGCAAAGAGTGGGGGAGGGAGGATGTAATAATGCCATTGGCAAGTGACAGGAATATAAGGAAACAAACACTTCTATACATTATCAGACCTGAACTTTGTGGGGACAGTTGTCAAAATTCTTAATAGTCATACCTTTTGGCCAAGCCATACCTAGCCATAAGATTTATTAGCCCCTAGAAGGCCAAATGCACCAAGATGTGAGCTCAAGGATGCTTCATCACAGCCTTGTGTAAAACAGTGAAAAACTATATGCAAATAAACTGGGACTTGGTTAAGGAAATTGTGGGATAACCCATGACAGATGCTTTGCAGTCATTCAAACAATGATGATGCATTCTAGCATTATTGCCATAGAAAGATGGAGGATGGGGTATTAAGTGAAAGAGCAACTTACAACATTGTATGCCGAGTATACATATTTATATTTATAGAAGTGGGATCATAGTGCCCTGTCTGTAAATATTCACAGGTATTGAAATGAAAACAGAAGTGTGTTCACCAAATTATAATAGTGGTTTCCTCTACAGGTGGTATTATGAGATGACTATAATTTATCATTTTTTCAATATTTTCTGTGCTTTTAAGTAATAGGCATGCATTTGTTTAATAATCAGAAAAAGAATAAGGCTTCAAAAAGTAAAATAATAGTGGCCAATATTTCAGTTACGATCCATGTCAGGAACCCCAGGAAATGAAAGAAGCATGAAGACAGTGAAGGGAACTGTGTAGTAGCGATGACCATCATTCTTAATCTCGCCTACGTAACTTCTTCACTGGGACAGGTTCCATTTCTGCACGCGTCCTTGGCCCTCACTCTCAGTGGGCCGCCACCTCTATCCCAGTTGAAACAAAATATTTTTAGCCCAAAAGAGATAAGGTTATAAACCCATCGAAAGTGACGACCTTTAAAAAAGATTTCTGGAAATCAAAAAGGCAAGACAAAGAAAAATGTATAAAATCTATTTAGCTCTTAGGGAAAAAAGAAACCAAATGACTACAAAAATACCAGCTCCAAAAATACCAAAAAGCTTCCACAGGAGAAAATAGAGAGCAAAGGACTGGCATATGGATGTCAGAACTCCCGTGTCAGAGAGGTTCCGGAAGCCGGCCGTGCGTCACCAATTATATTTATCCAAGATCACTGCGACAGACGCACACTTCCAACAACAGGGCACGTTCTTTAATGTCCCCCAAATCTCTTCTCTGTGACCAACTGTTAATGTCCCCCAAATCTCTTCTCTGTGACCAACTGATGGTATAACTATAGTGTGAGATTTTTTTCATTCCTTTCATCGTTGGCGAGCACATTTTAACGTAGGAAAAGAAGGGAGAGAGAGAGAGCTATAACAAACCCATCTTCTCCCCTCCAGGAAAAGCACAAAGAAGCACCTGCAGCAATGGCCAAGCTGACAGAATCCATGAGTGAGTAACCTGCAGCAATGGCCAAGCTGACAGAATCCATGAGTGAGTAACTTGGAATTTATTCTTGATTTCTGGTTTTGAATGAGAAACCGCAAACTCTCGCACAAACCACATCCCCTTGTGACGATCTGACTTGCCTTTCACTGTTGTGATAGCCAAGGTCTGTTTGACACACGTCGCCTTGTGTCGATGGTACATGGTGCATGATCCAGAAACCCATCTTGTGTGGGGTCAAGTTCTGCACCAAAGTGGTTACTGAATGTATGAATCAAAATGGATTTTATTTGCAGCACTGCATTGGGGCTCAAGACCCAGAGTTATTTCAACCTGACCTTGGGCAGGTTTGGACCAGGTCAGCTGAAGTTTTATGTGCAGATATTGCATAGGCTGGTGAATCGAAAGAGAGGAAAGGATGGTTTATTTATGATCACTAAACCTTCCAGGTGTTGTTCCGAAATTTCAAACAGAACGATTGAAAATGGAGTGCTTGAGGTGTAAGTAACTTAGAATGATTTAGCTTTGGTGTGGATCAGTGCTATAATGCTCTAAGCTCTTAAGCTACATAAATAGAATACATATTTTTTAAGAAGAATTAATTAAAATAAATCCTCCCACAAAATGAGAAATGCAATTCTATATGTTGAAGTTTAAATATTAAAGACCATGTGGCACCCTAACTCAGTGGATAGAGTGTCCACCTATGGACTATGGACTGAAGGGTCACGAGTTCGATTCCAGTTAAGGGCATGTACCTTGGTTGCAGGCTCAATCAGGCTGCGTGCGGGAGGCAACCAATAGATGTATCTCTCTCACGTGGATGTTTCTCTTTCTGTCTCTCCCTCTCCCTTCCACTCTCTCTAAAAATCAATGGAAAAATATCTTTGGGTGAAGATTAAGAACAAAAAAAGACCATGTGGCTATGAAATAAGCAGACAATTCGGACTGTTTTTGTTTGAAAATAAACACTGTCCCTGGTGCTAGATTTCATCTCTAAAGTTTCAAGGGAAGCTTGCAAACACTTCTCCATTCCCATTAGGGCCATGAACACCTTATTCAATTTGACCTGCAAACGTCACTATTAATCTTGCCACATTTAGCTGGGCACCTGCTTCCTCTTCTACCACTCCTCAATTCATGGAGCTATTAAAATACAAGTGTCCTTTTGTAGCTGGTCAATGAGCCCTTATCCCCAAAGGTCTGCCCCTCACCTAGAAAAGATAATGTTAAAAAGTTCTTTACACTGCATTTCTTTCATTCCTCACCCAGAACCCCTGGCCAGTTTCATCGGTCTTGACACACACTAGTTCTACCATTTACACAATGACTCAAAGGGATGGGTGAAGACCAACTGCCCATGATATTTACTGCCTCTCTTCCACTCTCTGTTCTGTATCACCCCCTGCCCTCTCTGCTCCACCCTTCTTTCTACATGAAACACATGCAAAGGATTTGCCACGAGGTTTAAAGACGCCCAGATGGGTTCTCTGGAGGGGAAAGGATCTTAAAGCTCTTCTCCTGCCTGACTGAAATGCATAGTGAGGTTACCTGTACCACTGCAAAGCTGATGAGCCTGTGTCGTCAAAATACGGAGTGGGACCGCGGACAGCACCAACTAATTCACAGTGTCAGCACGTTAGCAGACTCAGTTCTAATCTCCAAGTCCAAGAACACCAACACAAAAGACCCGCAGAGCCTCTGAGAGCTGGAAAGATGGCTAGCTTGGAGCCGGGCGTCACTGTCAGCGAAGGGAGTTTTGAGTGTGTAAGGGAATCAAGCTAGTGTAGCACAGGAGTTGTAATGCTGGTTTCACAATGAGGCTCCTGGTAGAAATTCAGTGAATGTTACTTTTAACTCGCCTTACTGAGCTGTGAAACACTGAAGGCACTCTAAGGGGCCTACTGGTTCTTCAATAACGGTATATTAATTTTTATACCTCTGTTGGATACAAATGCATTTAAATGAGAGCCGCTCGTTGGACTTCTGGTTGGTTGGTTTTAGATCTCAGGTTTGCCTCTGCAATAACTATAATGACTGACCTATAATTCCATTGGCTTAAGGGAATTCTGTCAAAACTGAATTCCAAACCCTTGGGTAGATGAAAGGGTACATTCGTTCTTCTAAGTTGCTTTGTCTTTATGAAAAGATCACACAGTCCTGGCCGGTTTGGCTCAGTGGATAGAGTGTTGGCCCACACGTGGACTAAGGGTCCTAGGTTTGATTTAGGTCAAGGGCATGCACCTCAGTTGCAGGCTCGATCACCAACACTGGTCGGAGCACGTGTGGGAGGCAACCAATTGATGTGTCTCTCTCACATCGATGATGTCTCTCTCTCTCTGTTTCTCCCCCTCCCTTCCAGGTCTCTAAAAATCAATGAAAATATATCCTCGTGTGAGGATTAACAAAAAAAAAAAAGAAAGAAAGAAAAATCACACAGATGTGTTCAATACACAAGGAAATTCAAAATTTGAGACCAGACTTTGGAATTCTACTCACCATTCCAGTTCACCGATCCTTACAAAGATAGAGAACATTATAAAATGCATAAGACATGCTCTAACTCTTTTAGGCTCTTGCTATGAGAGTTCATCAGGCGGTCAATACTGATAAATATTTTATCAAAGTTAAACTCATGAATAATGTTATATACAGCTCCACATTCATTCTACATAGGAAATCTACAAGGAAATAAATACATAATTATGTAGGGAGAACCAACCAGTTAATCAAAGGATTCACACACAAGTGCTACACACTAGATTTGATGGGAGCGTAAAACCCAAGGCCACCAGAGGAAAGGGACATAAACAGAACCACAAATGCCCAGGACACGGTGCACAGAATGGCTTTCTCGAGCCAGGAAATGCTTTGCTTGTTCAACTGCAGAGCAAACACCATCTGGTTCCTAGAACATCCATGTTTAACTAGAACCCGGGGGAGAGCCCGAGTCTTCCATCACCATAGGGGTCGACTGCTGCGGGTGGCTGGGCAAGGCTGGGAATGGGGTGGCTGACCTCTTCATCTTCTAGAACAGGAATGGGGAACGTTCCTTTCTCTCATGTGCCATTAATCAACTTCAGTCATTTTTTCAAAAGGCAAACAAGCCCAGCTGGTGTGGCTCAGTGGTTGAGCATCAACCTATGAAACAGAAGGTCACGGTTTGATTCCCAGCCAGGGCACATGCCTGGGTTGCAGGCTCAATCCCCAGTGTAGGGCGTGCAGGAGGCAGCCAATCAATGATTCTCTCTCATCATTGATGTTTCTATCTCTCTCTCCCTCTCCTTTCCTCTCTGAAATCAATAAAAGTATATTTTTTAAAAATAAAAGGGCAAACAAGAGACATAGATATTAACAGGCTTTTAAATGTTTCATTGAAATCAAGTTTAATAAATACAGGGTAATACTTCAAAATATTTTTATGTTACATTGTTGACATGAAGAGGGGGCCTGATAAGGAAGAAAAAAACAGAGGAAAAAGAAAAACAGATGTGGAGGGAGAAACAGAGAGACAGCAAAGTTATACATGACAAAAACACAGAGGAAAAAAACATATGTGAAAAGGACCCAGAGAAGAGCTGTGAAGGAGGGAAAGAGGCAACTCATAGGAGCCAAGAGAAGCCAGGCGGCAAGGGAGGGAGGCAGGAGGGGTGTGACTGGGATGTCCTCACTCGCCACAGCATTCGCTGTGGACTTCCAACCTTCTTACCACTGCCCTTTGACATTTTAACCTCTGTTTGCATCTTGGAAACGGATATTTTCACACGTAGACTTGCTCCAAATAGTGTAGCCGAAACCCCCAGATCGGAGGAATTGCTGTGCGCGTGCCGGTCAGTGAGCAGCACTTTCTTACCCAGCCGCTGACCACAGTGAAGCCGACAGCCTGATCTCGTGGAGACCCCAGCCCTGCCTCTCAATAGGCAGACGGGGACCCTGCCAAGGACACCAGTCCTGCTCCGTGCTGTCATCAGCGGTGACATGGAGCGGGCAGGTCTGTCCCGGGCCTGAGGGCTAAGTCAGGCGGTGAGGGTTGGAGGTGTCCAGAGGCGTGCAAACAGCCTGGACTCGTGGTCTGCAGGGAACCTTGGTAGGCAGTTCTTACATAAACTTTTTTAATAATTTGCTGCACGGTCGTGGCCGGCTGATGTATCCCCCCCACACCCCGAGCTCCTGGCAACATGTCAGCTACAGCAAAGGAGGTCTCACCACGTGGGTGCATTGACAGTGTGGGTTATAATCACATACCTGGTCTTGTACGTGGCAGCAGGTGAGTGGGACAGGGAGGGAGGCTTGGCCACCATGCCTTCCCAGGCTGCAGGGCCCCTTGACCCCATGTTCTGCTGCCCATCCTGGAGCCCCACTCCTACTCCTGTCTGTGTCATTCACGTGTCTGCAGTGTGGTGGCTGCCTGAGCCACATGAATCTCCTGAGGCCCCCGCGGGAGGATGGGGGTTCGTGGAAAGCTTTATTGATGATGAAAAATTCCGAGGGTCCCATCTCTGCCAGGGACAAAGTCCAGCCGTGTCCTCGGCGGGGCCCGAATGAAGGCCCCTGCCCGCCGTGTCCACAGTCCAGCCCCACGTCTGGCCAGCTCAGCTTGTGCTCCCAGCCGCAGTCCATTGCCTGTGGGGTCCTCACGGCCATGGCCATGTGGCTGCTTAAGGCCACGTAGCTATGGAGAGAGAGCAGGTGAGCACACAGGCGAGCGTGATTCCTGGAGCAAGAGAGAGCAAGAGCGAGAGCACGCAAGAGAGTGGGTGCTCATGGGGATTTTAACTTTGCAAGATTTCACGCGTTTCTGATGGGGCCCGCCCCCTGGCCCATCCAGTGTTCCCCAGGCCAGCACCTTCCCTACATCACCCCGACTTCACTGCTCGTGTGCCCCTCTCCCCCTTCTCCCCACAGCAGTCCAGTATGGGATGGGGGAAGGAGGAGCAATCCCCTTGGAGGAGCAACGTGTGTGTGTGTGTGTGTGTGTGTGTGTGTGTGTGTGTGTGTGTGAGCTT